TTTTTTTGAGACAGAGTCTTGCTCTGTCACCAGGCGCCAGGCTAGAGTGCAGTGGCATGATCTCGGCTCGTTGCAACCTCCGCCTCCCGTGTTCAAGCAATTCTCCTGCCTTAGCTTCCCAAGTAGCTGGGACTACAGTCTCATGCCACCACACCAAGCTAATTTTTGTATTTTTAGTAGAGATGGGGTTTCATCATGTTGGCCAGGATGGTCTCGATCTCTTGACTTCATGATCCACCCACCGCGGCCTCCCAAAGTGCTTCGATTACAAGTGTGAGCCACTGCACCCAGCCAGCCACAATCAGGATTCTTTTACACAATAACCTAACATTTGAAATAAGTTTTTTTAAAAACTTTTTAGGAGCCAGAGAGAAGTAATCATTCAGGATCTGAAATGAAGAAAGAAAGGAAGAAAGAAAACAGAGCCAACTATTTATTTGTCAAACTCCATAAGATTCATGTCTATCATGTCTACTTTCTGTGTACTCATCGTTTTGCCAGTACATGACATAATATTATAGATGGTCAATAAATATATGTTAAATGATTGAAGGCATAGGGGTAGCAAAGAGATTTGAGTAATCATGGTGTGGAGAACCCAAGAGGGAAAGTGTTAGCCCTCAGAGTGTTACGTGTGTGAAATCAAATGGACTCGGCGAGTTACTCCTATTAGGGTGAGAGAGGTGCTTAGGGACTGATCTAGCAGAGAAGTTAGAGTAGAATACACAATCACAGTGTTCAAGAGCTGTAGCCTGTGCCTGGACCTGATCCAGGCAAACAGCAATAAGAGAAGACTATAACGGAGTAAAACAGCCACTCTCCATGTGGGCGGGCTCTAGGGCTATTTGAAACTCCAGGCAGACAGTCAAGTCATAGGCAGTCTAAAGCTATTAACAATGTGCCTGCCGTGGAAATGGTATGTGACATCATAGAAGGATTTCTACAGGTATTTTTTCCCCCTAACTATTGTAGTGTTATTTAGGGATTAGTATTTGACATATTCACTCTTTTCCAGATGATAATTTTTTTAAACAGATATATGCATCGCAGCCTGGGTAATATAGTGGGACCCTGTCTCCACAAAATGTGGAAAATTAGCCAGGTGTGGTGGCACACACTTATAGTCCTAGCTATTCAGAAGGCTGAGGCAGGAGAATTGTTTGGACCCAGGAGTTTGAGGTTAGAGTGAGCTGTGATCATGTCATGGCACTCCAGCCTGGGCAACAGAGCAAGACTTTGTCTCAAAAAAAAATAAATAAATAAATAAAAATAAATAAAATAAAAAGTATGCATAAAAATAAAAATACATAATTTCTTTTAAAAACATTGTATTTTGAAATAATTTTAGGCAATTATAAAAATTATAAAAGTAGTACAGGTTCCCTATATAATTTTTGCTCAGCTTTACCTAATATGCGAACATCTTACATAACGGTAGTACAATGATCAAACCCAAGAAAGTAACATCAGTACAATACTGTTGACTGAACTAAAAGCCTTATTCAAATTTCCTCAGTTTTTCACCAGCAGGCTTTCTTGGTTCCTTTATCTATTCCAGGATCCCACATTGTTTTCAGTTTTCAGATAATCCTTAGTGTCCTATCTGAAGTCACACCTCTTAAAGATGACTTTTTTTTTTTAACTTCTTATCAGAATAAAATGTTTTATTTACTGAGAAATCCCTAGTGTCTGGTATGCTGAAGTGCTCCATAGGTATTTGTTTTGAATGAGATAATCTGAATTCTCACTAGCTGAATACTGATGGTGTGTCAGGATAGCACTAGTCCTTTCAGCCACAGGGACCATGGTGCTAACAATGATGACTTGAAGAGTGATGTGATGAGGGCAACCACAATGGCACTTATGAATTTCAGCCCTTACCAGAGCAGAGGAGAGGAAAGGAGGAGCACAACATAAGATTCCTTCACTATTTCAACCATTTTGAAAAGGTTTTTCATTTGTTTGTTTTGTTTTGAGACAGGGTCTCTTGTTATGTGGCCCAGCCATTTTGGAGAAATTTTGTTTTGTTTCTTTTCAGACAGAGTCTTGCTCTGTTACCCAGGCTGGAGTGCAGTGGCATGATCTAGGCTCACTGCAGCCTCCGCCTCCTGGATTCAAGCAATTCTCCTGCCTCAGCCTTCCGAATAGCTGGGACTACAGGCACCTGCCACCACGGCTGGCTAATTTTTATATTTTCAGTAGAGATGGGTTTTAACATATTGGTCAAGCTGGTCTTGAACTCCTGACCTCAGGTGATCCACCCACCTCGGCCTCCCAAAGTGCTGGGATTATAGGTGAGAGCCACCCTCCTCAGACTTTTTTTTTTTTTTTTTTTTTTTGAGATGGAGTCTCTCTCTGTTGCCCACCTGTAGTGCAATGGGTCGATCTCAGCTCACTACAACCTCCACCTCCCGGGTTCAGGCTGGAGAAGTTTTGAATTTTAAAACATACTGGGGCTGGACATACTGGCTTGGGCCTATAATTTCAGCTACTTGGGAGGCTAACACAGGAGCATCACTTGAGGCCAGGAGTTCCATACCAGCCTGGGCAACATAGCCAGACTAGGCTGGGTGACATACTGAGACCCCGTCTCTAAAAAAGGGAAAACAAAAACATACTGGGCAATATATAGTAACTTTACTTATTTTATTGACAATAGAAACAAATGATACAAAGCATTCTTAACCAATTTTGAATCTGTGATGGTGAATCTGTGAAGTTAGACAAAAAAGACTGCAATGCCATAGTGGTTGCATATGAAGAACAAGTTCTTGATGGATGTTTGTGAAGCTTCCATGGCTTTGGATAAAAGTGCCAAAGAAGTGTATAAACATGAAAGTGCATACGGTTCACTAAAGGAGCTTGTTTGAAATGCTGATTCTAGGGCTTTGTGCCTAAAGGTTCTGATTTAGTAGATATAGGGTAAAATTCAGATATTTTAATTTTTTCAGCTAATAATTTTATAGTACTTGCTATATGCCAGGCAGCAATTTATAGATAGTTACTAACTTAATCCTTAGTACAAAGAGAAGGAAACTGAGACACAGAGAGGTCTAAGAGCTAGTGAATGGCGATTCCAGGCTTTTAACCAGGCAAGCCAGGGCTAGTCTGTTGTCTGAATCATTATGTATACCACCTCACTTTTAACCATCAATCCAAGTGACTTTTTACAAAAGTGGTCCTTAGTCCAAACTTTGAGGAGCATTTTTCTATGTGATCAATATATGGGCTTCAGGGAATCCATGGAATCCTTAAATCATTATCTGCAGGGACACGTGTATAGAAGTCCATAGTTTCCTTAAGATTTGTAAACGGCTCTGACACAACTGTCTTCAATGTAAGAATCACCCACGTAAATAAATTAAAAATGTATTTTGCTCCTGAAAAAACTTATTTACTGAAGGCTTACAAATACAATTTATGAAGTATTCATTGAATCATATTTGGCATATTTTTATATGTGGAAGCAATTCAAAATATGTCAAACCTTAAACTTGAGTAGAATAATTTCACATTTCTTTTATTTTTTTCAATAAACCATATTAGCACCTGCCTATTATTAGGCAGTTTATATTCTCTTGAAACTCCGTTTGTTCAGCAATTCCAAGGCCTTCACAGTCAATTAGAGGTTAGTTAGTCTTTTTCCAAATGCTATGGAAAAAAAAATACGCAGAACCTCTTCAGTCTACTCTTGCTTTTGCTTCTCCCTGCTGAGGAGTGGCTGTGGGTTAGAAGAGGTGTTGGTCCACTGCTGTTGGGTGGTCCCTCCTGATCCAGTTCTTAGGCTGTGGTTGCCTCATTGAGCTCCAGTGTTACAGCTCTCCTCACTTCATGTTCCCACAGTCAGCATGGCTCTGCACTGCCCAGCAACTGTGCTAGACTGATGCTGTCCTGCGAAACTTCTGGTACCATGACAGCCTTCCTTGACAAAATCTTTGGTCCTGTTGCTGAACTCCAGTTTTTAGCTCAGAATTCTGATTTTCTACTGGCAACTTTAATTTACTTGATTACTTCATCTGTCCTGCATCTGGGCCTTACTCCTTGCCGCTGTGGTCTCCTCTATATAAACAAGACTTCTCAATGCTGAATTTTGAGAAGTAGGAACAGTAGGGATGGGAAATTTTACTGTTTTCTTCCAAAAAAAGATGAAGTTTTCTCATACAAGTTTATCTGCCTCTCCCTGGTAACTAGTTCTACTGAGGTAGTTTTTGCTAAACCACTAAACAAACCAACAAACAAATAAATAAATAGTTTGGTTACAACTTCCTTGAGGACAAAGGGTGCAGTTCACATTACCTTTGCATAGCTCAGTAGGGCTATTCAAGGGACTCAACCCAGGACAAAGACAGTCTGGTCAGATGCAACCTGCGGTTCTCATCCTTAGACACAAGAGAAGGTACCTTAAGTTTTAAATTTTTCCCTCAACTGGCACTTGATATAACCTTCACCTTAACAGGCATCCTGTTACTCAAATTTAAGCAGTATTATAAACTTTAAGCAGTTTCTGATAGTCAATATGGAAGTAAAAACAGAGAAATACAGAATTATTATTTAAACACAATGATTTGAGTGAAAAATCTTACTGTCCCACTTGGAAATTAACATTGGAATTGGAATTGAAAATAAGCAAATTTATAACAAATTTATTCTAGGTAGAAAGTGCAACTCACATCCCTGGTTTTATGTTTATATTGAAATATGTGCAAGAAAACTTCAGCAAGCACTTATATTCTGTGGTTAAATACAATTTTCTTACGGGCTATATCGTTCTTTCAACTTCTGAATGGAGTTCACAACAGCCAAAGGATTTGGTGAATCTGCAATGATTTGCCCTCTGTGGGTGGGTTTTTAGCAAGAATTAGACTGGATGTCATATAGCAAGATTACAAGTGGTGTGTCTGTGGGAGTCTGTGTTTCCAAAGATTTGTTGGTACTCAATTTCCTCCTGGATCAGGAACAAGACTTTATTTTGCTTTTCATCTCTTCTGCTTTTTCCCAAGGGACCTAGGAATTGTTTCGAACATGTGCAGTGCATGAACTTCCTGGATAGAAGGTAGCAGTGTGTGAGCTTTTAGAGAGACAACTCTTGGTAACGAAAAGCTCCCAGACCAGTTATACTCAGGGAGCGAGATTTTAACTTCTTAGCATTGAGAGACTCCACTTCCTCACTGGTAAGATGGACAAAATATTGGCTCTGACTACCTTACAAGGCTATGTGAGAAATAAATGAGATAAAAGATAGCAATTATTAAAAAATTCTAAAGAGCACAAATATAAATTATTAATCCAGGCTAGAAAACTGTAAGTTTCAATGTTAAAGGATAATGCCAATTTAATTAAAAAGTCATTATGTGATATTTTACTAGCATGCTTATAATTTTAACAATAACAGAAAAATAATTTTATATTTTATGGTTAAATTGTTGACACTGATGACCTACCCCTCTCATACATACTCCAAGAAAACCATAAAATACTGTTCTTTAATGTGGTAAACATGGGTTCAAAATGTTAATACTAGACATCTTTATTATTATATTTTAATTCAGAGTAAAAACTCTTTGAAAAATACTTGCAACTTCAAACATTGCCTTTCAAACAATCCTGTGGATGAAATAGGTCCCAGACATGAAGTTCAACTTGCAGTTTATAGTCCCTAAATCCTGTGCCTCGTTGTGGACATGACATTCTGCAGTTGTCTCTTTTCCTTTGGAGGGCCACATTTGCAAGTATATGCAGATGTTTTGAGAACCTAGTAATTTTGAAAAGCTGACGTGTGGAGTGTATTTAAAAAAAAAAACCATGAAGGATCAGTGATCCATTAAGAAAAAAACAAATTTTACCACCCACATAGTGTTGGCCCAAACTTGTTAATGGAAAAGAAATAAATATTCTGAGCAAATTAATTCAGAGCCTTTCCAAGATTTTTTAATGTAGTTCAACTTCTTTAAGATATGCTTGCAATTTTTGTTTTGATTGATATTTCATATTAACAAGCTGGCATCCATTAAAGTCTTGAAGTCAGAGCCATTTGACTGTGTTCAGTCACCTATGAGAACTAATATTAAAGATTTAATAAAGGATGTTAGGAAGGATAGGCCAAGGTGACTCGCATAATGAAAGTCAGTATGACGCTCAGGGCAAACCGTACAGACCAAATATGGATTTAGATAATTTCCAGATCAATATTACCACAACCTAAAAGAGCTAATTGCCAAAGTTTTACTGATGACCAATAATTAATACTACCAGTTTTTGAAATATGTGTTTTACTGATTGAAATAATTATATAGAAATGTGAAAAGGACTCCTTCTTAAAAGAAATAAGACATTTTGGGCCGGGCGCGGTGGCTCAAACCTGTAATCCCAGCACTTTGGGAGGCCAAGGCGAGTGGATCACGAGGTCAACAGATCGAGACCATCCTGGTCAACATGGTGAAACCCCGTCTCTACTAAAAATACAAAAAATTAGCTGGGCATGGTGGCGTGTGCCTGTAATCCCAGCTACTCAGGAGGCTGAGGCAAGAGAATTGCCTGAACCCAGGAGGCGGAGGAACGGTGAGCCAGGATCGCGCTATTGCACTCCAGCCTGGGTAACAAGAGTGAAACTCCGTCTCACAAAAAAAAAAAAAAAAAAAAAAAAAAAAAAAGAAATAAGACATTTTACAGGTCAAACCAAGTTTAATAAAGCCTGCTCCCTGAAACATAAAGGTATATATGGTTCTAAAGTGAGATTTAGTTGTGTACAAAAGCAATAGTACAGAAAAGATAATATCACACACTAAGCACGGCCTTATGTGCCCATAGAAAGACACAATCAAAAGCGCATACAGATGCTTTCATAGTTCATAGCTTCTGTCATGCCATGTCCACATTGCCTGTGCAAGATTTTTTTTTAAAGACATATAATTGAGGAATGACCCAATTATATGTCATGACTGAATTATATGACCCAAAGTAAGAAGTAGAAATCCAGAGGCAAATAAATGTGAAAGTATTTTTTTCTTTTAGTAGATTAATTTAGACTTTTGTTGAAATGTCAGGTGTTTTGAGTCACAATTATGGATCACAATATTTGATCTGTGGCATCTGTGGCCTTTTTTTTTTTTTAGCTTTATCTGACTTTTTTTCCCCCTTTTCTTTTTCTCTTCTCCATCCCCATATTTTATTATGCCTTAAAATGTTTTCGTGGCTTTAAAGTTTTTTTGTGTGTTTTCATTCTTTTGATTACCTAGGTGTGTGTTTGGAAGATTTGTATTTATGTTCTATTTGTGAAATAACTCTCACTCTAACTTCTTTACATAATGCTCTAACAGCCTACTTCTTTAAACAATATCTGTGAATAGTAAATACAATTGTTTCTTTTTCCTTTCCATTCTTTTACCCATTCTTTCTCCCTTTCTGTTTTTATAGGTTATAATGTCTTTCTTGGTGTTTTACTGTTCCATGTTTTTGTTGCTCCATTATATTATTTATGAGTCTTACATCATATATTTTAAATTCCAGCTAAAGAAGAAGAATTTATCAGTATGCTTCAACTTTTTTCTCCAAATTTTCAACCAATTCACTTCCCAGTTTTAGTGAGAGTCCTCATTGCAATATTGGGAAGGGTTGTGCCCACTCGATGCTGTAACCAGAACCACACATTTCTGTTAGTCTCAAGCCTATGGTTGTATTCAACCAATACTCCCCACCTTATTTTTCCCATTCACTCTTACTTGGATAAAGTCTTAATCGAATTGTTTCTTCTTTTTCAAAAATGGTGATACGAACAATATTTTAGTTTAAAATGTGTATTTCAGGTGGCTGGCAAGATGGTCAAATAGGAACAGCTTCAGTCAGGAGCAGCTCCGTTTTGCAGCTCCCGGCGAGATCAACGAAGAAGGGTGATTTCTGCATTTCCAACTGAGGTACCCGGCTCATCTCTCCGGGACTGGTTAGATAGTGGGTGTGAACCATGGAGGACGAGCCGAAGCAGGGTGGGGCGTCACCTCACTGTGGAAGCACGAAGGGTTGGGGAACTCACTCCCCTAGCCAATGGAAGCCATGAGGGACTGTGCTGTGAGGAAGGGTGCACTCTGGCCCAGATACTAGTTTTTCCCACGGCTTTCGCAACTCGCAGACCAGGAGATTCCCTTGGGTGCCTACACCACCAGGGCCCTGGGTTTCAGCACAAAACTGGGCATGTTAGGGCAGACACCGAGGTAGCCACAGGAGTTTTGTTCTTCATACCCCAGTGGCACCTGGAATGCTTGCAAATTGGTGGCCGTAGCAATTTCTGTTTTCAGTGGCTGTTATAAAAATTACATGAGAAAGTAGGCAAAGTACTAAGTAGGGTACCTGTCCTATAAATGTTAGCTTCAACTCTTATACCTCCTCATCTATTACTGTTAAATTTGTTATTTATTACTATTGAAACACCAATGAAGAAATACTGTTATTGCAAAAAGTATTTGAGAAACTGACTTAAAAAAATTGGGAAGAGAATTGCCACTTTTTTAAAAGGTAAGTTTAGGTGAAAAGGCATTTGGAATGAGTTCAGTAAATGTGGTGAAATAAAGACAACTGAACAGATAAGACACAATTAGACCATGTCAAAATGGCTAACACTCATATAACCCCAATTCACCTTTTTGAAAATATAAATAACAGCTTCTCTCGCCAGGCGTCCCCGTGGAAGGACATTGTCTTTAAACTCTGGCAATCCCTGACGCACTGCTGTGCTGCCCAGGGAAAACAGGGCGACCCGGAAGTCCAACTACTTCCTTAAGATCATCCAACTATTGGATGATTATCCGAAATGCTTCATTGTGTAGCAGGCAATGTGGGCTCCCAGCAGATGCAGCAGATCCGCATGTCCCGCCGCAGGAAGGCCATGGTTCTGATGGGAAGAACACCATGATGTGTGAGGTCATCCGAGGGCACCTGGAAAACAACCCAGCTCTGGAGAAACTGCTGCCTCTTATCTGGGGGAATGTGGGCTTTGTGTTCACCGAGATCAGGGACATGCTGCTGAGGGACATTACTGAGATCAGGGACATGCTGCTGACCAATAAGGCAGCAGCCTATGTGAAGTCACTGTGCCAGCCCAGAACACTGGTCTGGGGCCCGAGAAGACCTCCTTTTTCCAGGCTTTAGGTATCACCACTAAAATCTCCAGGGCCATCGTTAAAATCCTGAGCGATGTGCAGCTGATCAAGACTGGAGACAAAGTGGGAGCCAGTGAAGCCACGCTGCTGAACATGCTCAACATCTCTCCCTTCTCCTTTGGGCTGGTCACCCAGCAGGTGTTCGACAATGGCAGCATCTACAACCCTGAAGGGCTTGACATCACAGAGGAAACTCTGCACTCTCACTTCCTGAAGGGCGTCCGCAATGTTGCCAGTGTCTGTCTGCAGATTGGCTACCCAGCTGTTGCATCAGTACCCCATTCTATCATCAACAGATACAAACGAGTCCTGGCCTTGTCTGTGGAGACTGATTACACCTTCCCAGTTGCTGAAAAGGTCAAGGCCTTCTTGGCTGATCCATCTGCCTTTTCCGTGGCTGCCCCTGTGGCTGCTGCCACTACGGCTGTGCCTGCTGCTGCTGCAACCCCAGCTAAGGTTGAAGCCAAGGAAAAGTCGGAGTCGGACGAGGATATGGGATTTGGTCTCTTTGACTAATCACCAAAAAGCAACCACCTTAGCCAGCTTTATGTGCAAAACAAGGAAATAACACCGTCTTTAAAAAGTAAAAAAACAAAACAAAACACAAAAACAAAAGAAAATATAAATAACCTTAAAAGTTAGTTAAGGTATTTACTCTCTTTAAGGAGGGAGAACTACACGTCCCCTTCAAGTATCTTAAGGAATGAAAGTGTAGACAGGATACAGGTGCTGAGCATCTATTATGCAAGAACTGTGCTGGATGTACATTCCTTAGAACACTTCCATAAAATAGTAATGTCTATATTTTGCAAATAAAAAATCTGAGGTTCAAAATGGCCAAGTAGCTTGTCCAGAAGTCACATAGCTGGCTAGTTGAAGAAGCTGGAAGTAAAACTCAGATTTTTCTGAATCAAAAGGCTTTTATAATTCTGTCTTAAGTGGTGTGAGATTACGAATCAGAAAGTGGAACCCCAAGTGTGAAAGGGAGAGTCCTAAAATTGAAAAGTTAAAGAGTTGAAGAAGGCTTTTATGTTTTATTCAGACTGTTTTTCTTAAAATTAGTTAGGTTAAGATATAAAGTTTAAAATATTACATGATATTCCAACTTTCTCTGTTTTGATGTTATAAAACCTTGTGAACTGGGACTCCAGAATTATTAACATAAGCTTGGAATTTATTTTAAAGTGTGATGTATTTGCTCTAAACTAGACTTCTAACCAGCTGAAATTCAGTGGCTTCTGAGATGTAGGTTCTTATTCAACTAGACTAAATGTGTCATGCAGAAATTTATGACACAGTGGAGGCCAGAGGCTTTTACAGCAGCAAGTCCCTAAAGAAATCAAGAGGATCCTTTTTGGTCTACAGAACTGGAGAGAATTTTTCCCATCTATCCACTGACAAAGGGCTAATATCCAGAATCTACAAGGAACTTAAAAATATATACAAGAAACAAACAAACAAACCCATCAAAAAATGGGCAAAGGATATGAACAGACACTTCTCAAAGGAGGACATTTATGTGGCTAACAAACGTATGAAAAAAAGCTCATCATCACTGGTCATTAGATAAATGCAAATCAAAACCACAATGAGATACCATCTCAGGCCAGTTAGAATGGTGATCATTAAAAAGTCAGGAAACAACAGATGGTGGAGAGGATGTGAAGAAATAGGAACGCTTTTACACTGTTGGTAGGAGTATAAATTAGTTCAACCACTGTGGAAGACAGTCTGGCAATTCCTCAAAGATCTAGAACCAGAAATACCATTTGACCCAGCAATCCCATTATTGGGTGTATACCCAAAGGATTCTAAATTATTCTACTATAAAGACATGTGCACATGTATGTTTATTGTGGCACTGTTTCAAGTTCAGTTATTTTGCTGGAATATGACCCAATTTGATACTTTGTATAATTTTTCCCCTTGAGATATGATGTGCCCCCTCAATCAGTAAAATATATTCTTCTCCTATCTCCTCCCCTTCTCCTCCTCTTTCTTCATCATCTTTTTCCTGGTTAAATTTAGTTTCTCTCCTTTCTCATTTTGGCTCATTATACCTCTTACTGAGCTTTTAGATGTGTCTATTCCCCTTAGTGATGCTTCCAAGGCTTTGTTTCTGTGATTTTCTTCAACTTTATTTCTGTGTTCACAGCTCTTGTTTTATCATCTCTTTCCTAAGCTTTTGCACCTCTGCTCTGTGCTACTGTTTTATAAATGAAAGTTTTAAAAAATTATTATTTTTCATTTAATTCATGCAAAATTATGGTTGACAATATTTCATCTGTGACATCTATGGTCTTTTTTTTTTTTTAGCTTTATCTGACATCTTTCCCCTTTTCTTTTTCTCTCCTTCGTGCCCATATTTTGTTATCTTAAAATTGATTCTTGTTTTTCTTAAATCTCTCATATTATTTTTCTGTAGAAATTTTATGTATGGGAGAACAAATAAGGAGCTGCATTATAGACTAGAAGAAATTTTCATTATAAGCTAACATCTTAATCTGAGTTCTTTTATCCATTGCCTTCCTAGCCAGCCCATGAAGACAAAGGGATAAAAAAGGCTATGAGACTGTGAGATGGTTTGTCTCTATGTCCCAAAATCTCGTGTTGAATTATAATCCCCAATGTTGGGGGAGGGACCTGGTGGGAGGTGACTGAATCATGGGGGCAGATTTTCCCTTGCTATTCTCATGATAATGAGTGAATTCTCATGAGATCTGGGCTTGTTTGAAAGTGTATAGCTCTTCCTCCTTATCTCTCTCTCTCTCCTGCCAGCCATGTGAATATGTGCTTGCTTCCCCTTCACTTTCTGTCATGATTGTAAATTTCCTGAGGCTTCCCCAGAAGCAGGAGCCTGTACAGTCCACAGAACCATAGGCCGATTAAACCTCCTTTCTCTGTAAATTACCCAGTCTCATGTAGTTCCTTATAGAAATGTGAGAACAGATGAATACAGACGGCTTTCTATAAATTTGGCTTTCTATAACTGATCATTTATTCAGCCATTTCTCCCTGACTTCTCAGTACTAAATATGGTCCAGGGATGCTCCTGTCATGATCCCATATACTTGTCTTCTTCTATTACAAAAAAGGGATTCTACTTTTGCATCTTAAATGGTATATATTCCAGCTTGGAGAAATGTCCTTTGGGACCAGCCCTTCTGAGAGTTATAGCACAGCATCCTCTCTCCCCATGCTCCTGTACTCTCCCTTAATTGTCACTGCTTTAGGTAGCCTTTCTATTGATATTATGATTTGAGTTTCCACTGTCTACTAGGGTCACAAAAAATGAGTTCCCTTTTTCATATACCTACCTTAAAACATTGAATACCTGCTTTCTCATGTTCTTTCTCCTGTCTGAGAACTGGAACATAGATGATCCTTGATGACGTGTTGGAAGAACTACAAGATGAAAGGAAATGAGGTACCTGAATGATAGAAGTAAAACCACTCAGCTGGCTTGGACTGCTCACTCAGGACTGTTACATGGAATAAAAATAAAGGTCTATGTTTTTTAAGCTACTGTATTTTGGGGACTGCTTATTTCTATAGTTCTTGCTCTATATTATAAACTCACTTATCAATATTTTGTTTTGAGTTGTTTGCTGGATTTATTTTATAAGATTCTTTTTTGTGCTAAATGGATTTGAAATGACTTTGTACATTAAGGCAAATAATCTTTTCTTGTATATAACTTCATTTGCCTTCAAATTCAGTTTAGGCAATTATATTTCTCATATTGGCATCATGAGCAATGCATTTCTTCATTTTACTTAATGAAATTTTCTATGCTAATATACATAATACTGTGAACTAGAATCCTGAAGTAAATATTTTCTTTCTGCTTCTGCCATTAACTCATCCGTAAAATTAATTTCCAAGTCCTCTACTAATTCTATAATTCCATGACTCAAAATAGTTTACATCACTGGAAAGTAAAAGGAATACAAAATCTAGGAGCTACAACATTAAACTGCAGGAAGAAATAGATAAGTACAAGCTGAGCATCTGTAATCTAAAAATTTGAAATCTGAAATGCTCCAAAATCTGAAACATTTTGAGAGGGGACATGATGCCACAAGTGGATAATTCTATACCTGACCTGATGTGATTAGTGGTAGTCACAATTTTGTTTCATGCACCAAATTATTTAAAATATTGTATAAAATTACCTTCAGGCTATGTGAATAGGATGTATATAAAAATAAATTTTATGTTTACACTTGGGTCTCATCCCAAGAGCTCTCATTGTGTACAAGCAAATATTACCAAATCTGAAGTATTTCTGGTCCCAGTAATTTTGGGTAAAAAATATTCAGACTGTAGTATAGATTACCTAACTATTTTGAACATTTCTGTATTTTTTTTTTTTTTTGCTACATTTCTTAAGAGATTGACCATCTCTTAAGAGATTGGCCATCTCTTCCTCGCTCTTTCAAAACTCTCAAAGAGATCAAAGGCCTGAAAATTATTAAAAATAAAGGACAAAAATAATTAGAAATGAGACTACAGCAAGATCTCAGTAAATGTCTAGAAGCTGTAAATTAGATGGAAGAAAGGTAGTTGAATTAGTTGAATTGCCATCTGAATGCTTATAGCTGGGGGCCTACTGATGTAAGCCAATCACTGGGCAGAGCCAATGAGAGACTTATCAGTTGGAAGGCCTAGGTATTATGGAGAATGTCTTGTTTTCTTTAGCTTGCTACAATAAAATACCATAGACTTGTGTCTTATGAACACAGAAATTTATTTCTCACAGTTCTAGAGGCTGGGAAGTCCGAGATCAGGACACAGATAGATTCAGTGTCTGATAAGGGCCCACTTCCTGGTTCATCTTGTTGTGTTCTCAAGTGAATGCGGTGAAGAAGCTTTCTAGGGTCCTTTTATAAGAGCATTAATATAATTTATGAAAGCTTTTCCCTCATGATCTAATTACCTACCAAAGGTCCTACCTCCTGCTACCATCACTTTAGGGGTTAGGATTCCAACATAAAAATTTGGAAGGAGCACAAACATTTAGTTTGTAGCAGAGAGCAATTATAGACCTTACTTAACTCTCAAGAGACTATTGCTTTATTCAGAGGAAGGGGACACCAAGCATTTAAGAATACAGGAATGAGGTGAGCAGCTGAAAACATGGTTTATGGTGAAACACTTTATACCCCACTGTGAGATCCTTAACCACCTCTTTTATTTCTGGAATTTCTGAAGTAATATATCCAGGCAGGAAGCTCTGAATGACCCTAGAGAAAATATCAAGTATTCAAATTTGAATTCCTTTCCATGAAAAGTGCCATAGATAATGAAAACTCATATCATAGCATACTATCATAAACTTTCAGAACAATAGGAATAACAAAAAAAATTCTAAAGCTTTCGTAAAGTTAAAACAGGTCACAGTTTATTTATGTTGTTGTATATTGCAGAATTTCCTTCTTTTTCTAAGGCTTAATAGTATTCTAGTGCATCACATTTTCATTATCTATTTTCCTGTCAATGAAAATATATGTTGTTTCCACATCTTGGCTATTGTGAATCATGATTTAATAAATATAGGAATGCTAATATATCCTCGACATTCTGATTTCAGTTCTTTTGAATAAATATCCAGAAGCTGGATTAGATGGTAGTGATCTTTGTAATTTTTTGAGGTAACCCTATAATTTTTCTACAGTGACTGCACCACTTTGGATTTCCACCAACAGTGTTCAGGGGTTCCAATATCTCTATATCTTTTGTTTAAGTATTTAATCCATTTTGAGGGTTTTTTTTTTTTGTATGGTATAAGAATCCAGTTTCATTCTTTTGCATGTGAGTATCTGGTTTTCACAACACCACTTATTGAAGAGATAGTTCTTTCCCCATTGTTCATTGTTGACATCATTGTTGAAGATCAGTTGCCTATATATATGGATTTAATTCTAGGCTCTCCATTGTGTTCCATTGGTCTATACATTAATTTTTATGCCAATATTATACTGTGCTTTATACTTAACTAATGGACTAAAGGATGTGTGCACTGCCACTTTGTATTGTTAAAATGTTTTGATTATTGTAGTTTTGTAAATATTTTGAAATCAGAAAGTGATGTCGCAAGCTTTGTTCTTCTTTCTCAAGATTTATCTAGGCATTCATGGTCTTATTTTTATGTAGGCTCCATATAAATTTTGAAATTATTTTACTATTTCTGTAAAAAGTCATTGAAATTTTGATAATGATTGCACCAATTCTGTAGATAACTCTAGAAAGTATGGACATTTTAACAATATGAAGCGTTCCAATACATAACCATTGTCTGTCTTTCCATTTGTTTACATGTTGTTTAATTTCTTTCATTAATGTCTTATAGGTAGCAGTACACATGTCTTTTATTTCCTTGGTTAAGTTTATTCCTAGATATTTTATTATTTTTGATGCTTTCATAAATGTAATATCCCCTAGTTTTTTTCAGATATTTTATTAGTGTATAGAAATGAAAATCATTTTTGTATGTTCATTTTGTATCCTACAACTTTACAGAATTTGTTGGGAAGTGGGAAAAGTGGACACCTTTAATTATATTTCTGACCTGAGAAAAAGCTTTCTGTTTTTTATCATTAAGTGTACTGTTAGTTGTGGGCTTGTCATATATGGCCTTTATTATGCTGAGGTAATTTCCTTCTATTCTTAGTTTATTAATAATTTTTAACATTAAGTGTGTTGAATTTTGCCAAATGCTTTTTCTGCATCTATTAAGACAATTGTGATTTTTATCTTTTTTTCTCTTAATATTGTGTAATGCATTGATTTTCACATGTTGAATCCCTCTTTCATCCCAGGGATAAGTTTCACTTGATCATGGTGTGTGATCCTTTTAATGTCCTGTTGGATGCCATATGCTAGTAGTTTTAAAAGGATTTTTGCATCTGTATTCATCAGGTATATTGGTCTGTAGTTTTCTTATGGTGTCTCTGTTGGGCTTTGGTGTCAGGGCAATGCTGGTCTCATAAAATTAGTTTGGAAGTGTTCCCTCCTCTTCAATTTTTAAGAATAGCTTGAGATATAGTTGTGTTAATTCTTTAAATAATTGGTAGAATTCACCAATGAATCCATCAGGTCTTGGGTTTTTGTTGTTGCGAGGATTATCGATTCAATCTCCAAACTAGTTATAGGTCTGTTCAGATTTTGTTTCTTTATGATTTAGTCTTGGTAGATTGTATGTTTCTAGGAATTTATTCATTTCTTTTAGGCTCTCCAGCGTGCTGGAATGTAATTGCTCAGAATAGTATCTCAGGGTTCTTTTGTATCTATGATATTGATTGTAATGTTTCTTCTTTCATTGATGATTTTATTTATGAGTCCTCTCTTTTTTTCTTGGTTTAGCCAACAGTTTATTAATTTTATATCTCTTCAAAAACCAAGTCTTGGTTTCATTGCTTTTTTCCTGTTTCTGTTTTTTCTACTCCAAGTTTTGTTATTTCCTTTCTTTTGTTAACTTTTGGCTTAGTTTATTTTTTTTTCCCAGTTCCTTAACGTGTAAATTTAGGTTGTACATTTGAGATCTTTCTTTTTTTCAAATGCCGGCATTTATAAGTATGAACTTCCTTTTTAGCACTGATTTTGCATCCCAGAAGTTTTGGTAGCTGTATTTTTGTTTTCATTTTTCTTTAAGTATTTTACAATTTTCTTTTCAATATTCGTTTTGACTCAATGGTCATTCTTGAGTGTGTTGTTTAATCTCTACATATTTGAATTTTTCAGTTTTCCTCCTGTTATTGACTTGCAGTTTTATTTCATTGTAATCAGAAAAGATACTTGGTATAATTTCAATCTTCTTAAAATTTTGAAGTCTTGTTTTATGAACTAACATGTAATATACCTTGGAAAAAGATTTATGTATGCTTGAAAAGAATGTGTATTCTGCTGCTCTTGAGTGAAATGTTCTGTATATGTCTGCTAGGCCCGTTTGGTCTATGGTGTTATTCAAGACCTCTGTTTCCTTATTGATCTTCTAACTGGACGTTATGTCCATTATTGAAAGTGGGATATTGAAATCTCCTACTGTTATTTTATTGCTGTCTATTTCTACCTTCAATTCTGTCAATGTTTGATTTATATATTTGACTGCTCTGATGTGAACCAGTCCCTTCCTTCCCTAGGTAAAACTGGGAACTGAGAGTCTGTTCCCAACTGAAAAGTGCTGCACTGGGGGAAGGGTCTATCGTGAGAGGGTGTCCTGGATCTCCCTGCTGGTTTTGGCAAGTCTGGTTTTGCATTCTCCTGGGGTACAAAAGTCTTTAGTTTACGATTTCTCAAAAAGGAAATTTATTCATGAACTGTTGCTCAATTGGTGCATTTGCAGGGAGAAGGAAAGTTCAGGGTTCCTACTCCACCGTGTTGCTGATACCACTCCTCAATAACTCCGATATAGTTTTATTTTTAAACTATGAATGTGGTTTCATAATAAAATGAATTATACACATAACTAGACCAATATTTTGCATTTAGTCTTCAAAAATTCTTTTGAAATAGGCTTTTTAGCTTGAAATTATTGCCTATCTATTCAAAAGTTATTGCAATGTAATAAGAGCAATGGAGCTATATTTTAAAAATGTCTGTTTTAGTCCATTTTGTGTTACTATAACAGAATGTCTGAGATTGAGTAATTTATATGAACAGAAATGTATTGGTTCT